CTGTCTCTTTGCCCTAGCCAGATTCATGAGGCCACTCATGTTCCCCACTCAACACTGGCCCAGGGCTCCTTCCTCGTCTTCAAAGCCAGTGATGTTGCATCACTCTGACTCTTCTTCCCTAATTAAAAGTCTCCCTTTGACCACAGCCTGGAAAGATTCTACTTTAGGGATCCATTTGGTGAGGCTGGGCCCACTCAGGAAATCCAGGATAATCTCCTCACCTCAGAGTCACATCTGCAAAGTCTGTTTTGCCTTGGAAGGTAACATGTTCTCAGGTTTCAGGGGTTAGGACTTGGGTGTGGTTGCCAGGCCATCATTCTGTCCACCACCATCAACTAGTTACCTGATGTAAAAATCAGAAACTTTTCTTTACCACTCACCATACACGAAATCAATGCCAGATAGGCTATAACTCTACATATAAGAGTTTTAAAAAAAAGTTTTTGGAAGAAAATACAGAAGAACAGCCTCATGATATTGGGGTAGTGAAGAATTTCATGACCAGGACACAAAACACACTTAAGATTGAGAAACTGATGTAGATTAAAATTAAGAACTTCTTGTCATCAAAAGAGTCTGTTAAAAGAATGAAATGCAAGCCAGAGAGTGGGAGAAGATATGTGCAACATGTATCGTCAGTGAAGGGCTGTGTCAAAATTTGGTTTCCCCTGAAAAGCAAAGCCTGAGAAAAAGACTTGGGTAACAGGAGCTCCTGGTGATTGTCCTGTGTGTTATGCTTCACAATAAGACACGTTAACAACAGTAACAACAAAGGTCTTAAATGTAATAGCTAATATTTATTAAATGTTTTTTATGTGCTAAACTCTGTTCTAAACATTTTATGTGAATCAACTCAGTTAACACTGAAAACATGCCCCAAAAGTATGTACCTTTATAACCCCCATTGAGGAGGACACTAAGTTACAGTGTAGTTAATGTCCTAAAGCTACTAGGTATGGTTTGTGATGGCAGGGATTGTTGTCTGTTTTGCTGACTGCTACATTCCCAGTGCCTAGAAAACGCCACTTATTTGTATAAAGTGGCAAAGACAGGACTCAAACCCATGCTGCCTTTGGGAAAGCCTACATTCTATTAGCATGGTACAGCTAATAATGTTACTCATTTAAAATCTTTTATTCAGGTCCAGGCTGTAAGAATGAAGGTAATAAAAATATAGGAAAATAAAACCTAATACATTTTTTTAATTTTAAAAATAAGTGTTTTTTTAAATGTTAAAAAAGAAAACTAATTTAAAAACATTATCTATCAATCTAGATTTTTTTGGAGGAGAGGGGGATGGGAGAAACTAAAGGCCTAAAGAATGTTTTAAAATACTTTTCTTCCCCACAAGGTTAAAATCATATTCCCATCATTGCCAGCCAACATTTTAGTCCTTGAATGTCACAGATTACAGAAACCCACTTTTATAACCCGTCTCCCAACGCCTGAGCCTAATCGTTGCATAGCCATCTCCCGGCAGAAAGGCACATTCGTGTTGGCTGCTAGTTCAGTAGTCATGTTTCCAGCCACTAAAGCACGTTAAGCTGAAATCAAAACCAAACACATGTTCCTCTAAGAAACAGCCAAGGCTTCATGCTAAATACTGAGCGTTTCCCCAGCAGTCCAGGAGCCCTAGCACTTCAGGACGCTGATCAAGAATTGTCCACACTACAGATCATGGTGTAGAAGTTTTTTGTTGCTGTTGGTTGTGGTGGTGGTGTGTGTTTGTGTGTGTTTCTGAAACCAATGTAGAAAAGTTCATGTGATGGTCTGCTCTCAGTTTTAAAAAAATTATTACAGCCTAATTTCGTGTAATAAAGATACTACAGTCTTTTCTGAGAGATCACGATTTCCCTTCTGTTGGACGATGGCCAGGTTGTTTTCGGTGGGCAAGGGAAATATTCAAAAGTAGTGTTTATGTTTTTTCAATGAAACATGCATTTAAGTAAACCACAGATCAATATTTGTCAATTGAAGGTATGGAAGTGGCTGCTATAGTGACTTTAGATACATGATCTTGGCACTTGTGATAATGTCTCCAGAGAAACTATGCAGTCTAAAATACCAATGTATTCCTACTCCTTGTGCAGTTAATTTTCTGTGAAATATGTTTGTGTATCTATCCATTATCATATCAAATCACAATGCCTACTTATTGCTATTTCCTTAAGCCTATTAAATGATTTATATTTTCCCTAGTTCATATATAGTGATTTTTTTATTCTGTCACAAAACCCATATTTATTTTGAAAGCTATAATTACACATACTCTTACTAGAATTATATATAATAAAGTTCCAGCCTATAGGGAACAATTAGACCCTACAGACTGGAACTTTATTACTTACAAAGTTCCGTATCGGAAGAACCAAAGAACAAATTTCAAATGTACACAGAATCAATTGTTATTTATCAAATTTTATATTTTGTTTACTGTATTTTCCCTTTTTTGATATAAAAGAGTCCATAAGTATAACTAAATGTATTTTAACTATTTATATCCTTATAGGTCTTTTCATATTCTTACATAAATAAATCAGGAAAAGAAACCATTTATTTGAATACAATGGGATTATTGGCACATTAGAAAAAGCCTGGATTTTTGGAGTCAAACAGAGATGAGTTCAAATTCAGACTTGGCCACTAATTAGCTGTATGACCATAGGTGGGTGACTTGACCTCTCTTAGATCGTATTTTTCACCTTCCTAAGAAGGAATAATAACATCTGCTTTGCGGGGTTGTTGTGAAGGATTTTTACCCACTCGTTTCATCAACATTTAAGCATTTCTAAATCCTATTACTTCACAACAAAAATATTGAAACAAATAAACCTCTCTTTCAGTTATGCTACAGTTTATCAATATCTCAAAAATGTGGCTCCAGAATTAAATACAAATATGATAAAATGTTAGACAAAAAGCTCAAGTTTTTGTTTACCTTTGTTACTATGTAGCACTTATCAGGTACTTTGGGAAGTGCTAGGAAAGTGTGTGTTGGATGGGTGGACCCTGCAAAGACTCACTGCAGAGTTACAATAGGACTAGTTATCTCCTGTGGTCTGGTCACCAGAAAGGCTTATCGAAAACTGAATTGCAGCCTTGAGGCTTCGGAAGAGGCTCACCTCCACCATCCTTCACTGTATAGCAAAAAGAAAACCTGGTCGGACCCAAATGAGATCAATGAAATCACCAGCAGTGGATCTGGAAGCTGATCTAAGATGAGCTGGTCATTTGGAAGCCTGTGACTGTCCATTCCTGGGCTCAGTGCTGGAAACACACCTTAGCCTGTCTTAAAAGCAGGCACAGGGACACAGGCATGCAAAAGGCACTATCAACGCTCAAATGCCTGAGACAGTAACCTGGATGAAAATTCTGTGTTGGCGTTCAGAAGATACGTGAATCTAAGATTGGCCTCGACATGTACCACACCCTGTACCTGAAGGTGAAGGGGAACATATCTGAAAACAGGCAGATTCTTCTTTTATTTTTATTTTTTAAATGGAGGTACTGGGGACTGAATCCAGGACCTCAAGCATGCTAAGCATGCACTCTACCACTGAGCTATGCCCTCCCCTTGTCAAGCAGATTCTCATGGAACACACCCACAAGCTGAAAACAGACCAGCCCAGCAAGCAGCTGCTGGCTGATGTGACTGAGACCTGCAGGTCTAAGATCAAGGATGCACATTAACACCCTGAAGAGTGACTCCAGGCCAAGCAGGAGGAGATCGTGAGGAATGAGGCCAACAGCTAAAGCTCCCCATCTCTTGTCTGTACACAGTGGCCTCTGAGATTGCATAGATCCATCATTCCTTAGCACTGGCCTTTATCTGCCTGAGAGGGAAAAAGTGAATTGCATTTATTTTTCTGTCAACTCTTTGGTCATGTTGAACATTTAACCAATTAAAAATCTAAGTCTTTTTTCACATAAGTACTGTTCAATAAGATCTCTCTGCCTCCGTTAATGGGTTACTGATTTACTGAACTGAAATACAGGATTTTACATTCATCGTTAGCTACATTTCATCATATTAGCTTCCACCAATTTGATTTAACCTTCATCTATCATTATGCATGCTAATTATTATTTTCGGATTTATGACACCTGTAAATTTGATTACAGTGTAAATCTCTGTTCATCCAAATTGTTGACTTAAGAAAGATAAATGAAAAAGAAGAGAAGGTAGAGTGTAATGCCTTGTAATATGTCACCAGAGCCTTGTGCTAAATTGTTCCTAATCTGATAGATGGCCAGCTTTGATTTTCAGATGCCAATTGACATAACTATTATGTACTATCATCTAGTGCAAATTTCTGCATCTTTTCTACCAAGATATAAAAGTCTTTAGTTGTATTTTGGCATTTCTCTCCAAATTCTTTAAATTACCAGTAGCACTTCCTAAGTCACTTGTAGATGTCATTATTCCAACCAAAGTATAAAGTTCACCTAAATCTGGATGTGTACCCTGATGTAAATTACCTAGGGACTCTTTTATTACCTACTACTCTTTGGGGGCTTCCCTCTACTTCCTACTGCCCTATTACTTGTATTTCTCTATTAATATTTGAGATTTGGTTTGTTTACGTATGTTTCTCTTTGATTTACCACTTTAGTTGCTCTGCTTTCTCTATGTCTAACATTGCATTTTTTGTCCCATTGATGTCTCTCTTTCCCTACCTTACTTTTTTCAGTCAAAAACTTCTCCATCTTCTAACCCTACCAGGTTCTTCTCTTCTCAAAAGATTTTTTTTGTTGGTATTAGCTTTAAAAATACGTATATGCAATGTATAACTGAATCACTTTGCTGTGCACCTGAAACTAACATTATTCAACAAAAAATGAGAATTAAGAGTAAGAAGAAAATATGCATAACGTCAACATACATGAAAGTTTATATTTCCTGATATTTCTTTTATATTTCCAATCACTGCCCCCCCACCATGTATTTGTCTTCCATCTTTGCCCTTTAAATGCTTGATCATTTACTCATTCATTCATAGTGAATGGATATCTATTGACGACCTGCTGCGTCCTGGTCGGTGCTAGATGATGCCAATACTGAGTCATGACCCAGCAAATGCCTTCAAGGAGCTCATGAACTAGTACAGAATTTACACATGTAAGCAAGCGTTACAAAGGTGTGAAAAGAATTACTATGGCCAAGGAGCACAAAGATAGGGATACCAAACCCAGACTGTGAAAGTCAGAAAACATGTCTGGAGGATGTGCTAGCCATGCTAAGTCTGGAAGCAGAGGCTGCAGGATATGTGTGCTGGTGCATGGACTTCTGTAGATGCCTTCTCTCTATTTCTCATCCAAATCACTCGTGACATCTTGGCTTATAGGGTTTACCATTGAGCTATCTTGATAAATGACTTCTCACTTTTTCATCCATAAACATGTTTTCAGGACCCACTCAATGCCAGGATCATGTTATACGATACCTTTTCTTTTAAAGATGCATTTTAAAGATTCAGGGAATTCCCTGCTTTCTCGCTCCCTCATGATTTTTGGGAACTTTTGAAATCAGCTTTTCCAAAGTAAAAAGTATTCATCTGGCTCTGCCCATTATTTCTTCCTTGACAACTAACAACTTTAAACTTTTCGGTTCATTTTTACTTTGAAATAGTTGTCAAAATAATATATTGAGTGCTTTCTATGGGCACTATATTAAATGCTCTGGGAGATACACAAAGATGACTAAAATTTAGGCCCTTTCCTCATGAAGCCTGTAAACTAGTAGTGGAAACATGCACACCGAACACAATAAAGATATTAATAAATGCTCTACTAAAGATACTTTACGTTCAAAGAATTTCTTGGTTAGAATTAAGTTTACAAGAGAGCTCCTTGTTTCTTCCTTAATTATTAGAGGCTTGATAAGTTAAAGTAACACTGTAAGGATAGGAAGTTTGGATTAGTTCAAAAATTTTTTTGAGAAGAGCTGTATAATTTTTTCTTAAGTGTTTTTGTGTTTTCAGCATATTCCATGCAAGAGAGTGCATGGACCGGTCTGATCGTATCCAGTAATTCAAAAGTCAATTCATCAGGTTAACAAAATGTAATAATTGTATAATGGATCAAATTAGATTTTAAAATATACATTGAAGAGTCAGTGTTACCTACGGACTAGCATGTTCTACATTATATTTTTCTGTAATTTTGGAATATGTTTTGGTAATGATCATGCATTACCTTTTTAATTAGAAAATACATGTTCATAAATATATATGTGGAGCTTCTATTAGGAAAAGACATTATGCTAATTCTCTAGAAAGTTATCTGTTAGGTTTCTTTTCATATATGATTATAAGAGTTTGAAAAATATGGAAAATAGATAAAAGAAAAAAATTACCTATAAAGCTATCACACTAACTCAAATGTTATTGAAGTTAATGGTGTGTTTCTTTCCTCTCTCTCTTTTTTTTTAAGTGACTAGATAGCAACATTTTTAATAATATTTAACCCACAAGAACAGGAATATTTTCTTCATGTGTATCCAGTTCTGTACTTTGACCCAGATGAAATGGTAGAATCATGGAATATTTACATGAAAGATCTTACAAATCATCCAGAAATATATAAACTCTCATATCATCTCCCAATAAGTAAAATCTTTATCTTCTAGATTTACCACCTTGTAGACAGGGTCATATTAACAGTAATAATCCAGATTTTATTGGCACTTGTCCCCACCCACTCACATAGGAACCTAATCTCCAGCAAAGTTCCCCCAAATTCTTTTGGGAGTTCAGATAGTGTTTTACACATACTATGAGTAAACCCAGTTAACTATCTAGTCAACTACCATCTTCTTTCCTCTTCTCCTGCTCTAACCTACAAGGGCTAGATGTTGCTGAGTTCCCTGACATTGCTGCCTCCCCTAGGATGCTGCCATGGAGGTCCTGGAAATGCCAAAGCAGTGCAGTGGTGTGTGGAGTAGCAGCAAAGAACCCCCTTCTCCTCTCCCGCTAGAGGGTTCCCCAGCAGTGCCACTTGTGTCCCATGTCTTGGGACCCTTACTACCCAAAATGTGATCCATGGACCAGCATCATACAGCAGAACTATGAGAAATGCAGACTCTCAGGCCCTGTGTATCAGCACCTGCATTCTAACAAGAGCCCCAGATGACTCATAGACAAATTACAGTTTGAGAAACGCATACTTAAAGTGCCTCCCTGGGACTAAGGCATGAATTCAACTGGGGACAAGAGTAGTGTTGGGTCAGGAAACAAAAATGACTTTTTATAATGCTTTCTTCTCTTTGAAGACCTTGTCTTTGTGACTGGGCCACACTTCAAATGTGTGGCTCCTTGAGGGATGAGCTCTCCCTCAGGAGCTCCCTCTCTCCTCACAGAGATAGACGTTCAGTGACCTGCCACTTCTCTTTCAGTTCAACCTGCCATGGCTTAGGCTCAAACTGAGAACCCATCAGACTGTGAGAACTCTTACACTGCTCTCCACGTGAAAAATATTTTTATTTAACAAATGTTGGTTCAGCACCTGTTATTTACAGAACACTCCATTATGGGCTATGCGGATACCAAAATAAGTAACACGATCTCTACCCTCAAAGGAGTCATAAGGAGGTGTATGTTGGGGGGCAGGTAGGGACTTTTGGGAAACAGTTTGAAAGAAAAACCAAAAGGTTCCCAAATGGAGAAGTCTCACTGCACTTTGGAGAAACCGGTCTTCTGTCTTGTCCCTACAGACTGCGTGTGCCTGTTCGCCAGGAGGAATGCCCCTCTTGCATTTCCATGTCAATACCTTCTTACCTGCCTTCCAAGGCCAATTTCCAATGCCAGCTGATCAATGAACTCTGCCCTAATTTCCTCATCTAAATATGCATTTGACACGTCAGAACCCCCATCATATCCTCTCTTAAGATCAATTACATGTGTTGAGGCCTTATGGGGTGGAGGATATGTCCCTTATAGCCAAAAAATGTATTTTAGTCAGTCTTAGACTCTCCATAGGACTTAAGTACATTTTGGGGGAAAAAAAAATTAAAGGTAATGCATCTACTCTGTTGATGTTCTCTATTCAGGAAGTATATCAGCCTTCTCAAATCACAGTCAGAGAGAACACAAGGGAGAGTGCTAAACATTCTGGGGTATGTTCACGGGACACCCCATGGCTGGCTAGGATTGACTTTTTTTGCATCTTTTTCTCTGGTCAGATTGGTTCTATCATTCAGAAACCATGTCCTCATTAGTAGGCTAGTAACTGTTCATCTCAGCTGCATGGAATTTTCTCTTGTTTTCAGCTGGATAGAAGTAGGTGGCTATATGCCTGCTAGTATTTAAGAAGTCTCTTAGCTGAATGGGTACCACTTTTTGTGCCTGGTTTTTCCTGAAGCTGAGATGGAATCCAAGGCAGAGGGCCTTCTCCCTGAAGAATGTAGGGTTGCTCTTAATCAAGTAGCATCTTATGAGCTGAATGTCAGTGATGCTTATGTATCTATGGTTAGTATAGTTCCTTGAGCCACTATGAGGAATGTTTTGGCTCTAATCTGGATAATGTATCTTCTATATCCTTACTAATTGTGGTGACAGCCATATTTGTGGTTTGATACTACTTGAAAAAACAATTTAGTGGCTGAGATTTTGCTGCTCTGTGGCCTAGTGATTTAGAGTTGGGGTTGCAAACTATGGGCTTCGATTGGGAGAACTGCAGTTCTTTTCAGAGGATTCCCAAAGCTTTTATGGACATCAGACACTGGTATAAATAATTTTTCAACCATCTGCTATTTTAGAGCCAATGTAGATGTGTTAGGATTAGTGAAATAGATTAACTTTAAAATGTCAATTCATGCTGGACTTCCGCCAATTGTCTGCATAATTACTGGACATAGGGCTACCATGTAGGGTTCTGAAATCTGACCCTTAAAGAGGCCTAATAGGCAAATATTGGGCACCAGCATATCAGAATCTGGATGGTTTCTCTTTGAGGTAGGCTGGGAGGCAACTGGGGCCTTCTGGAAGTCAAAGGACAAACCAAGGACTCTGGACTGAACACAGAAGGCCTCTTTCGGACAACCACAGAGACAGCAAAGTGAGTTTGTGTGAGATTACAGTCTTGAAAATCAGCTTCTCTCACCTCCAGTCTCTCCCCATTCTTCTCCCTGTCCCAGACCTGTTATTACACTGAAGACAAAGAAACACCTGCTTTTCTCACATTCTTCGAAGACCAAGCTGAGGTGAAGAGGGAACATGCGAAGCAGTTCATAAGATATCTAAAAAAATATAAGTGTAAAGTCTGCCTTCCAGTGATTAAGGTGACTATGTAACTTTGTTCCGGTGATCTCCATGGGGCCTTTATTGGGTCTAGAGAACTAAATTATGAGATGCTACCTAACTTGTTATGTTACTCATGTTCCTACATGAGTATTATAGCAACTGACCTTGAAGGTAAGCATGTGTCTTCTCTGTAGCCTCTTCATATCATTTGGAGTAAATTTTAGTCTCTAAATGCTTGTTTGGCTTTTCTCAATGAGCCATTCAAAGTGTGGTCTCTGGACTAGCAGCATCAGCAGCACCTGGGAATTCATTAGAAATGCAAATTTAGGGACCCCACTCTGATAAACTGAATCAGATTCTCTAAGGCTGGGGCACAATGATCCGTAGTTTACAAGCTCTCCAGGTGATTCTAATCCTCTGTACAGTTTGAGACTCACTACTCTAATGGTCTCTTCCTAGAGCTGTTAGCATCCTCTGTTAGACCTTAAGTCTAATTCAGAGGCACATTGGGGTGCTTAATATAGCTGTCTCTTCAATGTAGTAAAACAAAATTTTTTTCACTAGAACAGACACTCGAAAGAAACAATGTGAACCTTAGTTGGGGGGATTACATTTAGAAACATTCCTCCTTACCTGAGGGGTTCTTTTAACTCAAGGTCTATAAAGCAAACTAAATATCTGGTGGTACAGAACTCAGCACCGTCCAAAGCTAATGAAGTCCCAAAGCTAAAGGCATAGTGCATACAGCTGTGCTGGTGGTGCCCGGGCTTTGTAGAACATTAAAGCCACCTGGAGAGCTTTTAAAACTCCTGCCCCTCCTTACTAATTAAGTCAGAATGTCTGCAGTTGAAAGCCAGACATCAGTATTTAGGTGCTCTGCTGAGTCTGTTGTGTCACAAAGTGTGGGAACTATTGGCCTCTGCGAACCTAGTTCTAATTCTACCCAGGAAGTAGGAAGTAACCAAGCTATGCCTCAGGTAGGATAGTGACTCCCCTGTTCCTCTCCAACAGAGGCTGGATATAGAAAACTGGGGAACTGGCAAAAAAGCTATCGAGTCTGCCCTGCAGTTGGAGAATACATTAAGCAGCCTTCTGCAAGACCTGAAGGCCTTGGCTTCTCGGAAGAAACAAGCCAGTGTAAGTAGTAAGCTGGTTCTGAAAGCACCGTCATCTTTCCCTTCTAGATAATGACTTGCTTCTGAGAGATGAGCCTAAGACAGTGGATTATCTAATGTATTTATTTCCCTCCAAAGAAGTATATGACCTTATTTCTGGGAGTAGGTGGGAGGTGGGAGGAGTAGGTACCCTGGTAAGGAGGAATGCAATGCAAAACACGATGAATTAGACTTCTCAGGAATAAGGGACTCTGGATATTTAAAGAAGCACAGCCTTGAGATCTGCTGTCTTAGATTGCCCCTACAAAAGTGAATGTTTAAGGTGACCTATTGTATAGACTTCTCTGAAGTCTTCCTGGTTAATGGTGAGCACTCTCCCTTGCAGTGGTCACTTTTTTTTCACCAGCCTAGCTTCTCTGGAAGTCAAAATGAAGAAAAGGCCCTTGTAGAAAAGTTACTAACCTAGATGCACATTGGACTCTCTGAGGAACTCTGAAAAGGATCAAATGGGAGCCCTACACCAGACTACTTAAATTTAAATCCCTGGGAATGGGGTCTGGGAGCCTACTCAAAATTTACACGTTATTCAAATAGAGTAGAAAACCATTGCTGTAGTAGCTTATTACTTAAATTAATCTGCATTTTTGATGAGATGCCTTAACACTCATATTCATTGAAGGTGGCTATCTGTATTCATCTGGAGGTCTTGAATGTCACAGATGGGTGCTCTTTGAACTTCAATATGCATATGAATCACCTAGTCCCTTTTTAAAATGCAGATGCTGATTTGGTAGGTCTGGAAGGGATTCAATACAATGCATTTCTGACAAGCTCCTAGGACTGCTGGCGCATTAGCTATAATTTGGGTAGCAAGATCTTAGATTGCCTCCCACTGCAGACAAAGTCCTTAGTGTGTTGACCCCTGTTTTATTTCTGTAGCTCGCACGCTTCATGAAGAAGTTCCTGGATGAACAGATCAGGAACATAAGCTACCTGGAATACCAGCTTGGCTATCAGGAGGAATTAGAGAAGATGGCAAAGAATGAAGGACAGGTTGAAAAGGCTGCTGTGGCATCTGAAGCATCAGGTAAAGAGACACCTGAAGGCAACACAGCACGTCTTCCCACCCAGCAGGTCCCAAGCCCAGAATCTTGATCTTCTCCATTTAACAGAAGACTGCTTTCCTTTTCATCTAGAATCCTAATCCTCATTGTTGGCATGCAAATAAACCTGTTTTGCATTATAATCATGTGTAAGGAGATTGCTGTTGGAGTACAAGAAGGGTTAGTTCCATTAATGTGAGTTTGGTGAAAGCTTCCTGAGGGACAGTAGGTGCATTAGATTAAAAAAAAAAAAAAAAAAAGGCCTCCCCTGTTTCCAACAACACCCAGAGACAGAGGCAGGATTTGTTAAATCCAGCCAATCCAAGTGGATAGAGTAGAAATTAAGTAGTAAAACCTTAGGTTCCTGGCAGGAGGTAGGAGAAGGGAACAGGAAGGTACATAAGCAAGTAAGACACTACAGACAAGTTTGGATGCCCCTACCTTCTACACTGTAGACCGTCTAGCAGCTACTGGGGTGATTGCTTTGAGCAGAAAACAGTGAGCATGCAAGCTTGGATCAGACCCAAGGGCTTCAGGTGGCAAGTACCACCTGGGAAAAAGCAGGCTGTATAGGATTGTGCCCTGGCTGCAAAACTTACTAGCTCCATGGCCTTGAGTAAGTTTTTATTTACCTCACTCATTGAGGCAGTTTAGTCATCTGTAAAGTACGGTTAATATTATATAGTTCATAAAGTTAACAAGACGATTGAGTAAATTAATATGTAAAGTATCTAAAAACAGCACCTGCTCAGATTGTGTATTTGTATAGTAAGTAGTGCCACTTCTGAAACGTGAGGAAAGCCAATACGTAACAGAAGCACTTACAACAAGAAAACAGATTACTGAAATTGCGACAGAATCTTAAAACATTTAATCTTAAAGGAATCTTGTTGGAAACAAGAACAGGTGGTCATAGGAAAGAACTACCTTGGAGAAATTCAAGTCAACAAATGGGTTGATTATTCAAATAAACACAGCTAATCAAACAAGTGATCCAGAAGTAAGCCAAACAATTCTCTGACAAAGGAGTAAAGAAACAGTATTTAAAATGTTAAGACATGGAATTCCAACAAAAGATCTAACTAGAGCTCCAGGAGGAAAGACATTGAGAAAGAACCAGTATGGTGAAATTTTAGAGCATCAAGGATGAAAAAGTTTGCCATAAAAGGCATTACTTAAAAGGAAAAACTGACATATTAATAAGACCTTCACTGTGAATAACATTATTGTTTTAACAGCAAAATATAAGGGCATGGGCTTTACATGCAAGTCCAACGTAGCCTGGCTGATTCTAACCTTTTTTGTTATTGTTCAAAAATAAATAGCTGAGATTTTTTCATGTTTTTCTATGCTCTGTACTTCTTTTAAATTGAAATATAATTGATTTTAATGTTGTGTTAGTTTCAGATGTCCAGCAAAGTGGTTTCCATATATATATATATTCTTTTTCAGATTCTTTTCCTTTATAGGTTATTACAAGATACTGAATTGGTTCCCTGTGCTATAAAGTAGGTCCTTGTTGTTTATCTATTTTATATGTAGTAATATGTATATGTTAATCCTGAACTCTTAATTTATCCCTCCCCCAACTTTCCCCTTTGGTAACCATAAATTTGTTGTCTATGTCTAGAGTCTTTTTCTGGTTTGTAAATAAATTCATTCACATTTTTTTTAATTCCGCATATACTAACTAACCTCCTATAGTGCTTTAAGCTTTAGTAATTCCAGTGGGAAGGGTATGCACTCAGGCAACAGTCAAGCACATAGTAGACTTCTTTTCCAACTTCTGCACACCTTTTCTACAAGTCACACATCTTGAAAATCACCGCCAAGACGAGCTTGTCACCACTGGAGAAATACTAGTTTACAAAGCATTCTTAAATAAATTCCTACTTTTATAATTACCAACTTATATCCAATTTTATGCTTATTAATCTGAGAGACAACCACATTAAATTGGGAGTAAGACAAGATTACATTTTCCTCCACACTACTTACTGGCTTTCTGGACATTCTCAAGCAGGGTTTCTCAACCCCAGTACTATTGACATTTTGAGGCAAATGACCTTTGTTATGCGGGGTCATCCTATGCATTGTAAGATATCTAGCAACATCCCTGGCCTCTACCTACCAAGTAGAACCTTCTCCAGTTGTGACAAACTGTTTCCAGACATTGCCAAGTATCTCTTGAGAGGTAAAAATTAACCCTGTTTAAGCACCACTATTAAAGATGATGTAATAGAAAAGCTAGAAAGGAAGATGTATCTGTTTGAAAAACACTGAATGTGATATGATTGTAACAAGAACTGAAAAACTGTTATAACTATTATAACCTATAAGAAAGTTTAATGATGGGCTGGATGCAGGATAAATATCTACAATTTAACCTTTCTTATATAGTATCAATAAATAAAGTATTTTTAAAGATATATTATTTATGATACTCACAAATACATGAAATACCTAGGAATAATCCTCACAGAAGTAGCTTGGAATCTATATAAAGTGAAATTAAAATATTTCCTGAAAGAAAGAAGCTTTGAATAATGGAAAAAGGAGAAAAAAGATTAAATACGAAAATTGTGACACCTCCCAAATCAGAAGTCTGGAACAATTTTGGTCATAATCCTAACAGAATTTTGAGGGTTTAGACAATTTAGCACTAAAGAGTAAGCTTCAGCCATGAGGAAAAACATGGGAACATACATAAAACTTACTTAACATCGTTAGTCATTGGGAAATACAAACCAAAATCACAATGAGATACCATTGACTACACACTCAGAATGGCTAAAATTAAAATGACTGTCAACACGATAAGCTGGCAAGGTGGTGAGATAACTGAATCTCTCACACACTTCTGGTGAGAATATAAAGTGGTACAAACGCTTTGGAAAAAGATATGTCATTTTATTATAAAATTAAGCATGTACATGCCTCATGCATTTTGGGAGGACACAAGTCATCCCATAACAAATAATGATATTGTCTAAAATTGAATAGAGAAAGCTATGGAGAAAAGACAGGAAGAAGGTATAAGCTAATTCATTTGATGTTCACAGTAGGAATCAATAGATACTGTCTGAAGAAAGGTCTTAAGAGTATTATATAAAAAGTCTAATTATGAAGGCAGTGACTAGAATAAAAATACAAGGACTATAATTTTTAATATAACAGCCTCCATAGTGAAAGTTTATGTAAATACAAACATCATATTTACATTGTATTTTGTAACCCTTATGTTAGCCCTTGTTTGTGTCCTAGTTTCACCGTGGAATAATATTCAACCTCAGGACTTTTGCTGAAGTTTCCCTGATCATTTTCTAGTTGGGTCAGTTTTGTTCTTTGAGAGGTTCTTCAGTAAGGCTTAGCGTGGACAGTATTCCCTCAGTCCCTGAGTTGGCAGGACTTCTTGCCTATAGCTTCGACATTTGAAGAACATCTTGGATGGATTTAAAATCCTTGGCTCAAACTTCCCTTTAGTGTCTAAGTATTGTTGCATTTCTGTTAGTATTGACTGTAGCTGTGCCAGCTTGGTTTTCCTTCCCTTAGAAGTGAACATTTTTGCCCAGATGCCCAGAGTGTGCTTCTAGTGTGAGCAGTCTCCATCTGGTGTTTGCAGGATGTGTGTTAATAGCATATGTCTTGGTGTTCATCGTTCTGAGACAGTCTTTCCCATGTCTCCAATATGCCTTTTAATATCAAAATACAAGTCTTATTTCAGAGCATTGTCTAAAGTTTGCGTTACTCCATTCTTTTGGATTTCCTCCAAATGGAAGAACTCCAGTTATTCATATTTTGAATCATTTCTGCTTATCTTTTACAACTTTTATTAAAAAAATCTTTTTGCTTATTTCTCTTTTACTTCATTTTTTCTGCAGGTACTCTGTGTCCTGCTGTGCTCTCTATAGAATCTATTTCTCCTTATGTTCTTTTATTTTTTTTTTATGAAATGATTCTGTCTGTGTATTCTATTTCTTTCCTAAATTTTATTAGGTACCATTTCAAATCTTCCTACTGACTGACCATCACCTTCCATTTGTTGGCCATGTCTTCCCTGGGTTCATGTGTTTATTTTTTTTAAAGATTACAGTCTGTTTACAGTTATTAAAAAATGTTGGCTAAATTTCCTACGTTGTACAGTACATCCTTGTAGTCTGTCTTATAGCCAGTAGTTTGTACCTCCCACTCCTCCAAGCCGTCCCCACTGTTAACGACTAATTTGTTCTCTATATCTGTGAGTCTGCTTGTTATTATTATTACATTCACCAGTTTCTTGTATTTTTTAGATTTTAAGATAAATATCACATCGTATTTGTCTTTCTCTGACTTATGTCATTTGGCATAATGCCCTCCAAGTCATTCCACATTGCTGCAAATGTCAGTATTTCATTTCTTTTTATTGGCTGAGTAGTATTCCATTGTGTGTGTGTCTGTGTGTGTGTGTGTGTGTGTGTGTGTGTGTATACACACCGTGTTGTCTTTATCCAGTCATCTGTTGATGGAACTTAGGTTGCTTCTATACCTTGGCAATTGTAAATAATGCTGCTAGGAACATTGGGGTGCATATATCTTTTCAAATTAATGTTTTTGTTTTTTTCAGATATACCTGGGAGTAGAATTCCTGGGTCATATTGTAGTCTTTGTCTGGTTTTGTTATCAGGGTGAGGCTGGACTCATAGAATGAGTTTGGAAGTGTTCCTTCTTCTGCAATTTTTTGGAATAGTTTAAGATGGATAAATGTTAACTCTTCACTAAATGTTTGGTAGAATTCACTGTGAAGCCATCTGGTCCTGAACTTTTGTTTGTTGAGAGTTGTTTAATCACTGATTCATTTTCAATACTGGTAATTGATCTGTTCATATTTTGTACTTCCTCCTTGTTCAGAATTGGGAGATTGTACCTTTCTAAGAATTTGTCCATTTCTTCTAGGTTGTCTGTTTCCTTGGCATATAGTTGTTTGTAGTAATTTCTTGTGATCCTGTGTATTTCTGTGATATCAGTTGTGACTTCTCCTTTTTTATTTCTGATTTTACTGCTTTGGGCCCTCTCCCTTTTTTCTTGATGAGTCTGGCTACAGGTTTATCGATTTTATTTATCTTTTCAAAGAACCAGCTTATAGTTTCACTGATATTTTATATTTTTAAAAAATCTTTCATTTATTTCTGCTCTGATCTTTATGATTTCTTTCCTTCTACTAACTTTGGGTTTTGTTTGTTCTTTTTTCTGTAGTTGCTTTAGGTGTAAGGTTAGGCTGTTAATTTGAGGTTTTTCTTATTTCCTGAGGTAAACTTTATAGCGATAAACTTTCCTCTAGAAGTGCTTTTGCTGTGGTACCATAGGTTTTGGATCATTGTATTTTCATTTCCATTTGTCTCTAGGTATTATTTCCTTTTTAATTTCTTCAGTGATCCATTGGTTGTTCAGTAGATATTGTTTAGCCTCCACGTGTTTGTATTTTTTAGTTTTTTTTCTTGTAGTTGCTTCCTAGTTTCATAGCGTTGTAGTCAGAAAAGACACGTGACATGATTTCAGTTTTCTTACATTTACTGAGGCTTGTTCTGTAGTCTAGGATGTTATCTATCCTGGAGAATGTTCATGTGCACGTGAAAAAATTGTGTATTCTGCTGCTTTGGGGTGGAATGTTCTATAAATATCAAGTCTATTTGGTGTTGTTTAAGGCCAGTGTTTCCTTATTGATTTTTTTGTCTGGATGATCTGTCCATTGATGAAGGTGGGGTTTTAAAGTCCTCTACTATTATTGTGTTACTACTGATTTCCCCTTTTATGTCTGTTAATATTTGCCTTATATATTTAGGTGCTCATATGTTGGGTGTATATATATTTACAATTGTTATATCTTCTTCTTGGATTGATCCTTTGATCATTTTGTAGTGTTCTTCCTCTCTTGTAACTGGCTTTTTTTAAAAGTCTATTTTGTCTGATATAAGTATTGCTACACTGGCTTTCTTTTGATTTCCATTTGTTTGGAATACCTTTTCCCATCCCCTCACTTTCAGTCTGTATGTGACTCTAGATCTGAAGTGAGTCTCTCGTAGGCAGCATGTATCTGAAGTGAGTCTTTTGTACCCATTCAGCCAGTCTGTGTCTTTTGGTTGGAGCATTTAGTCTGTCTACATTTAAGGTAGTTTTCAATACGTATGTTAGTTGTTTTAGTTTTGTTTTGTTTTTGTAGATCTTTTTGTTTGTTTGTTTTTGCCTTCTTATTTTGTTCTCTTCTTTTGTGATTTCATGACAATCATTAGTGTTATGTTTGGATTCCTTTTTCTTTTATATGTGAATATCTGTTGATTTTTGGTTTGTGGTTACCATGAGGTTTTCA